GAACCCGCGACCCTCAGATTGTGAGTCGAGCGCCTTATCCACCTGGCCATGCCGGGCTCTAAAGTATAAATGAAGCCACCCTAATATTTCTACTAATTAAACTCCAACCTCCACCCTTACAAAAAGATATTAAATAGAACTAAATAAAACTATACATATATGCTGTTTATGCAAACGATGAGAAACTTTACTGTGATTAGAATCTACATCATGCTTTTACGTTACCTTATTCTTTATTTTACGACGAATTTTTTTCAACGATCTTTCCTCTACTTTTGTTAAGGGTAATCGCTGTGGGATGGGATAACCCTCTGCTAAAAGGGTTCGTTTTTCTTCATCTGTAAGGTTTATTACTCCTGTTGCTCCTTTCTGCGAGTATTAAAAACAGAGAGAAAGGGATTATACGTACCAACTAATCATTATAGCGATTAAAAGACTATCATGAAAAAGAAGTAATTCAAAAATGATTTGTATAGGATTTATACGTATTTTATAACTTATTAATTGGTCTATATATATATATATATATATATATATATTTGTGTGTGTGTATGGGTGGTTTTATTTGTTTGTTTGTCGTTAAGCAAAAAGTACACAATAGGGTATCTGTGCTGTGTCTTCCACGGGTATCAAAACCCAGTTTCCAGCGTTATAAGCCTCCAGACTTACCGCTGAGCCATTAGAGTGTGGGGGGAGGTGTAGAAGTCGAAATATAAATTAAGTTTACGAAACAATAAGGAGATATGAAACAGTTTTAGAGCTAACTATTTGATTAGTTGCTATTTTTTTATTATTAGATACTAATTACGCCTTACTTTATAGCTAGGAAAGTCTCTGAAAAGACTTTAAAATCAGGGTCTAGTATCGTGGGACTAGAGATATTTCATCCTTATTGACAGGCTTCTGTTTTAAGACCAAGAAACTGCAACATCTCAGTAAGTCCGAGGGATTACTACGTTAAAATCGGGTTTCGGTACGTGCCTTGGACATAATACAGATAGTCTGTTGTGTAGCTCTGTGCTTAACAACAAACCAACAAAAAATATCCAGTAATAAGCATTAATAAATCAATACTTAGACTTAAGTGATCGTACAGGGTATAAATCATTTCTGATAAAAGAGTTAGCACATGGGATCACACACAAAAGGTGCAATGAATATTTTGAATATTTTTTGAAATTTTTTGGCTATAAATCCTGACAGCATTGATACCTAATCGCCATAACCATGCTGTATGTACTGAAGTATTGACTATACATATTCTTTACATAATGCTTTACATAAATACTGTGGTTACTTTTTTGGATGCTAAAGTTTAATGTACATTACAACAATTAATAATAAGTTTTCACTGTGTGTACCTTTCATAAGTATAAATAATATATAGACAATAAAAGTTCTTAATAAAACAATTTTTGCCCTTAACTCTTGACTGGTCCATTTAGAATTTCAAAAATATATATGTAGAAAATTTACAGCATCGATATAAGTCTTTAATGGGTAGATTTAATAACTTTTCGAAACATCAAAGATATTAATAACAATCATATTCGCAATCTTTACGTCACGACTTTTTTTTTAAGATACATTATAATAATTTCGCTTTTAGAAAAAGCACGTAGAACCAGGAAGGTTGTATTCAAAATAAATAAGCTTAAAGTGTAAAACAAAACTAAACTTACCGGTTGATAGCTTATTAAAGGGGATGTACTTAAACTCCTACTGATTCCATTTGTACTACTAGATGGCAGCACTACTTTAGAGTGGGATGGATTTTTTCTTGAAGGTGAAGAATTGCTACTAACGCCTCCTAGAGTGAATGTTTTAGGAGATGTGGGAAGGGTAAAGCTATGAACGGGTGAAACGCTGCCATCAGAATCGCTACCGTTACTGGACGGTGGCGTTGGGGGTAAGGAAAACCCCACGGCTAAAATAAAAAAAAAAATATTCAAGTACATGCCAGTCCGCAGCCATATTTATTTATTTGGAAGATAAAACATTAAATAAATTGATAATATTGTTTAGGATTAAATATTTGCAATTAAGAATGTGTGTAAAAAACACTGAAAAACCAAGAAGAAAAAGAGCAACAAAAATAAATTAGATTTTAAATTATTTGCATATATCTACATTTTCATAAGCAAAACATTTCAGGTTGCATTATACAAACCTTTATTGATATTTCCAGAGTTTCAAAACCATAAAAAAATTTTTAACATTTAAAACAGGAAATCCATTATTAATTACTAAGCAATAAAAATACTTAACAATTTTCGAGAAGCTCTTGTTAAGGTAAGTGAAAATTTTAACGTATTTCTTGCAAGGGAAAAATGAACACACTTTTTTGACAATTGTTGATATACATCAAGTAAGCATGGCAATATTCGTGACATTTAAAGTATTTTAATTGCCACATTTTACGTAAAACGTAACTACTTTCGCCTTCTACAAACACCATGGGAATTATTGTCAACGTTGAAACAGTTCTCTGATACTTTTAAGGTTTATCGATTTCGTGCCGGTTAGTGTATGTGATCATAAGACTCCATCATACCACAAAGAATAATTAAATGATTTTTACCCATTAAATTAACTTGTTAATCTTGTCATGATAAGGCTGGAATTTCAATCCAATGACAATATATTATAGGTGAATATGTGGTCTCAAAAGCACTGATAGCCAGGGTATTTTCGGAAAGCTCCTTTTATTAGGGTTAGCTACTTCACTCATTTACACACATAGTGAGGTGAGAATATAACTGCAGAGGGTGCTCGGGTCTTTTAACTTTAATTGAATACTTCACTGGTACGTTTTTATACGAATGTCGAATTCAACAACATGATTACTACTTTTCTTTTCTCATTAACATGTAGTCCAGATGAGCGTCAATGAATTCATGTAGAAAGTCAGCAAATTAGAAATAATATAATGTTTGTTTGTTTCAGCGCGAAGCTGCAGAATGAGCTAACTACGCTGTGTCTGCGGTGGGGATCGACTTACGAATTTTAGCGTTATATGCCATAAATATTACGGTTGAACCTCCGTGGAGAACGAAGAGACTGAGTAATATAAAATTTGATATTACATCAACCGACATTATCCATCTTATATGAATAGATGTCAATTAAAGAAGCAGACCCCTTAGTGGCATATCTACACGAAGGGCTATCTGTTCTCTGTCTACCACGGGTATCGAAACCCGGTTTCTAGCAGTATAAGTCCATAAACCTATCGCTTTGTAGCCTAATTTAATAGCAAACAATACCACAAAGAGGCAGATACTATTTCTAAAGTGACAAAATCTTTAGTCATTCTGTTGGTGTATAATCATATAAATGATAATCAAAATATAAATAATTAATTACTAAATACGTGTAAAACAGTGATTTTTAGAACTAATACGAGCATTGTATGCGACATATAAGTTTTCTTTATTCACTACAGTAAAGCTATATTTATATACGTATTAGGTCGTCAAGAATTTAATGTCGCATTTTTGATATGAAAAACCACGAACAGCTTATATATATCAAAACAAAACATTTATTAAATGAAATAATCTCCATTCTTATTAATGATGCTTTTCTATTTTACAATCAGGTTTTTAACGCCCTGATTAAAGAAATCACTTGACTTTGAAGCAAAAACCATGTCGATGTCCTCTTTAACACCTTCCACATTTTCCCATTAAGATGGTATTCCAGCGAACGAAAAAGATAGTAACCTGATGGTGCCATATCTAGAGAATATGGTGGGTGGAAAAAAAACTTCCCAATCCAACTCCATAATCTTGTGTTGCGTCAAACGTACCACATGTGGACGTGCATTGTAGTAGAGAAGAAGACCTTTCTGATTGACGAGTGAAGGGCGTTCTTGATGAAGGCCTTGATTTAAACATTCCAGTTGCTGATTATACATCTCTGCATTGACAGTTCGCTGTGGATTTAGGAGTTCGAAATGAATTACTACTTTGATGTCCCACCAAATGCAAAGCATCACTTTCTGCGGATGGATTCCAGGTTTGGGGGTTGTGAGTGGTTTTTGTGTAGGACTGAGCCATTGTTTTTGGCGTTTAATATTCGCATACAGAATAAATTTTTCATCACCGGTGGTAATTCTGTCCAAAAATGGTTCATGTGCATTACGTGCCAGAAGAGACGAAACAACGTTCACACGTTGGAAACGGTGATCATCGGAGAGTTCGTGAGACACGCAAACACCTTCTTTATGGAGTTTTCCCATACTCCTTAGAGGTTTACGTATTGTTTCATGAGAGACATGCAATTTCAAGGCCATTTCACGAGTGTGTTGCCTTCGTTTAGACTCAACAAATGTCTTCAGAGTATCAACATCAATTCCAAAATGTCGGCCTCTGCCATCACAGTTTTTAAGATTAAAGTCACCTGAATGAAATTTGCTGAACCATCGTTGACACCTACGAACGTTCAAAACATTTCCATAAACTTCTTTGATATTCTCTGTGGCTATAGTGGTTTCCCTTCTTGTTTGCAAACAGCATTACATGGTGAATGTGTGTCTTGCCTGTGCCATCACTATAAGGGATTAGAGTATACTAAACTTTACACATTATATAGACTACACTAACGTGACGTTTAGGCGGCTCCTTTAAATATTAACCGTGATGTGCGTTTTTTTGGGGGGTGGATAATGAAAACGTTAAAAAAACGCGATATTAATTTCTTGACGACCTAATATTTATGAAACGTGTACTGTTAATGGTATTAACTTATTCTTCTAATTTATTCAGCGCAGAAGTTATTTAAGACATTTTTTCTTCGTTATCAAAATTACAGCAAGAAAGAATTATTATTTGGATACATGTTCAATGATGCAGGTATAATAATTATACAAATTATCGAAAAATTATGAAATCCGAGAATCAAAAAAAAGGGAAATGTGAAACCCAGTCTATCATCCATTTCATCGCTGAATTAGACCGGTACTGGGAAATTTCTTTACCTCATCACTAACCCAAAAACCAGCCTAACTCAGTGGCGAGAGTTAAAGTGAATGTTAGACGGGGTTTCGTGTTTCGTTCTCGTCGAATTTCATAATTTCGGATGAAAGGGGAAATTACTATACCAATATTATCTAAGACGTATTGAAATAATATTTATATACCATAAAACAAAACAACAACAAAAAACACACTTACAAGAGGCTGCAGATTCCAATTTTATGTTGAGTTTCGGGATCACCATGCGGTAATCTTCAAAAGCTTTGGCTGCTGAATTTGACCGAGCTGTTAATACAATGGATGGCTGTTTAAGCAGGCTTTGCTGGCTTGAGCTTGAGGTAGAGGTTAATGCTATAGACGATAATGTAGCTGTGGTCAACAAGTCAGTAACTGAGGATGAGAGGGTAGGCAGTGGACTGGGAGTCCTCGGGGGTGAAGAAGAAGGCTCTTGTTTGATTGTGATAATACCAGAAAAATCTGTCTGTCCTGTTGCCGTCGTCATTGGGATAGCTGGAAAACACTCTGATTCCAGATCTGTAATAACAGAAACATCGACCGTCTCTTTTATTCAAAGTATTATCGAACTTTTCGGAGAGCGTTAACTGTCACGAAACAATATTTTTAAACGTAGTTTTAGAGAATATTAAATAAGCAACAACTTAGCTTTAAACCTAAAATATCTCTGGCTATAGAAGTTTATAACTTGTTATTTGTTATGGAATTTCGCACAAAGCTACTCAAGAACTATCTGCATATAGACGTCTCTAATTTTAACATGAGAGACTATAGATTAGTCAACAGCACCTACCGCCAATTCCTGGGATATTCTCAAATGATCGAATATTGATCGCAATTCTTATAGCGCACTCACGACGACAAAGTGTAGGGCATATTTTAGGGAAATGAGTCGCGAACCATGAACCTTCCGATTTATTTTATAGTCTGGGTGTGTAACCATTAAACCACACTTGGTCTTTTGGGTTCATAGGGAAGAAACTAGTATGATAAATATATTTTTAGGGATAAAATACAAAATAAAATAAATAAAAAATCCTGAGTGAAGGCAAGAATCCAGTACGTATTTACACAATTGAAACTTACAGTACGAATATCAAATATTATACTCCAGTGTAACCCAATAAGAGACAAGTAAAGTATTACTTTAACACTAAAACAAACTTCCCAGCAATGATCAAACTAACGAAATTTAATGGTTTTCGTCAAAAACTGACAATCTCCACTTATTCTATCTAATATAGGATCGTATGAATTTTTCTCAGTTAGTAGTTGTTTATATTTGTATATCACCATATTAACGTGTTTCAAAAATTTCAAGTTTCAACCTAAATTCTCAAACAAATGAAAAAGCAATTGATTTTGACCATGTAATATTCATGATTTCGTTAAATTGTTGCCAGCACTTTAACCAATGGTTGTAAAAAAGAACAATCAACCAAAATTCCGTTTGGGGGAAAAACATAGTTTATATAACGGTTACTTGCATGACAGTCCATTAAATTAGTCTCTTTTTTTTTTTTAAGAACACTATGAATTTCAAGTTAAAATATGTTTAAGTCTGAAAACGTCATGCTTTGGACTTCTTGCAGTCTTTACGTCAACAGTGTCAGGCAATCTTATATAATGCACTGGGTGAGAAATACTTATTATTTGGTCAAAGGTTTCAGCTCGGGGTCCTAGATTCGCGTTCCGTTGCCGCAAAATCGCGCTCCGCCCTTTGGGGCAATTAGTGCGTTATAAGAGTGATGGACAAATCCCATAATTTGATTAGAATATCCTATGAGTTGACGGTGGCCGCTGTTGGCTATCTGAATCCTTTCTAGTTCAAACTTAGGGACGGCTAACGTATATAGCTCTTATGTAGCTTTGCGCAAATATTCGAAACAAACCAATACCAGTTCGGGTCAGCGAAAACTGGGCTTCGCTGACGTCATCACGTTAGTCCTTGAATGTTATTAGTAAATTTTTTCTTGGCTTCTTTCTTTAGCTTATAGCTAGTCGACGAGGTCAAAATGCATTAAATATACTATACATATTCTTAGTAGCTTCGTAAGGATTTTTTTTCTGTCACTAGAGCTGATTGTAAATCTTCGCTAACTAAATCTTATTTTTTTCAGAATGTCATAAGACAATAATCTAAGTATTTGAGTTAGGTATTATTATAGTTTAAGAATGATTCCATTGTTTTCTGTTTACTGACGGAAGTGGCCTGTGACCTAGTTTTCGCCATTACCTGCCGACGGATTGCACGTTTGAGAAAAAAAAAATCTTCGCTATTTATACCTGCTATAACAACTGGTCAAACAGGTGCAACTTACGAGTAGGCCTAAATGGAATAACTGAATACTACTACTACTACTACTACATGTCTTTGTAACTATATTTTGAAAAAAGCTTCATTTTCGGACATCGTGATCATTTTTGGCGTTGATCAAAATATGCAATAACAGGTGGATCAAATTACCATAACTTTTCTTATTTCTCTTGAAAAATATTTATTGCAAATCATGAAATTGTTTGTAATTTTGCCCATCAAATTATTCTATCATCCAGTAGAACACAAACAAAAACTAAAAATCTTATTTATAGCTTGTCAATAGTTAGACTAAAGCTGATGGAATTCTGTCCGTGAGCATGCGCTCTTTCAATCTACGTGAGAATACTAGCAAATTCAGACTGGAAGTAACTTTGGGCTTGTTAAAAGTGACATGTAATTCTAATTTTCTAGAGGTGACCCCTCTTCCTTCCAAATATTCAAGGTAGAGCTTAATGATTAAAGTTCCTATTGAAAGTTATGTCGGTCACACCGTAAATGACGTCATTTCACGTGTAAAGAATCTGTCTTGTTTATCACGCGCACTTTTGAACGGGTTTTCATACCTACTGGAGCTTAGCATTGCTTTTTTGACTATCACAATGCCCTTTGTATTAATGATTCTTATGTTACTTTGCACTCTTTAGCTCTGTCCTAAGCGATACTTTAGATATTCAGTTTCTTGTCTTATTTCGCACAATTTCGGCCATTTGGAGCAAGGCACACGTTACATAAATTATTCAAAAACAAACGACCATTAGTAGCACGTTTATGTAAAATGTAAGTTTGGAACTGGATTTTTTAACTTGAATGACAACTTCTGCGACATGAGTTAAGCAGTCAAGTCAGAAGCCCATAGCGTTCAGGTATAACGGTCCTTAATTATGATACGGTGACCAGACATAAATTAGTCAGTCAACAGCACACGTCGTCTCAAAGACTTTGCCCAGTTATTTGAACCGAATAACGAGATTCACAGCCACTTTTATGATGTGTCCAGAGCTGAAACTGCGAAGCGCGTTCAATAGCATTACCGATTAAAACTTTGACCCTCAATACGCAGATCTGGAGAGGAGGTAAATTTGTCTCAAGTGATAAAGACACTGAGCTATCTTCTTTCGAGCATGTTTTTTTTTGGGAATTCAAAATCTATACTTTGCTAGAAATGCATCCCTAGAGCCACTTGCGTCTTGTAAAGTTGAGATTATTTCAGAATAGGGATAGTATCTGTAAATACACCTTCTTTATTTTAACGAGAACTTACCCATTTAATAGGGATAGTATCTGTAAGCACACCTCCTTTGGCATAATTTAATTGTTAAGTGACTGGAATTGCAATTTGCGGGTCGCGAGATGGAAACCCGTCCTCGAGAATGTTAACCCTTTCAGCAGTGGGGACGTTATAATGGGATTGTCAATTTCACTACTCGTTGGTAAAGAGTAGCTCAAGAGTTGAGGGTGGGCGTAGTTTGTAGTGTTGACTAACTTCTATATATCTTCTGTTGTTTGAATGAAATATTGCATATATATATATATATATATATATACACACAGCATGGTCACAAGTAAATAGACACCACCTTTTCAGAAAAAAATGGAATTTTTCAGTCATATTCCCATGAATTGATATATTTATAATTTAATTATAATCTAGTAGATTTTCCTTTCGCTTCGTGGAGTTCGTTGATCCTTTGGGGCATTATGAGAATCATCTCGTCAATTTTACATTGTGGGATTTTCGCCCACTCTTGCTACAAAACTTGGAGATCGCTCTTCGAAGTTGGTTTTTTGGTTGTTCCTTGACTTGCCGGTCGAGTATGGCCCAAAGGTTTTCGATGGGGTTCATGTCAGGAGATTGGCTCGGCCAAGGCAACTTC